GATCGCCCGACTCGATCGCCTGAAACTGAAAACAAACACGTTTGTTTTTGAGGTGATCGTATCGGGCGATCGGCCCGATCCCGTCCGTAGTGGGCACCCCGTATAAACAGTTGATAATAGCCTAGCCTAGAGCCTATAAATTTCAGTTCCGATAAGTGGTACACAAATCAACATACCTCCAAGCCTAATGACTCTATGGGACATGATGATGGACTATAGATTATAATGTAAGTCTTCTGCTTGTGTTTGTAAGATAGGGAGTAGAAAAACGTCTGTCCTCTATAATGCCAGTTGTCAGAACAAAACTTAAAGAGAAGAAATTTCAGCTCCTAAAAACGTTTGCAGAGACCACAGTACGGGGGTAATTCAGATTTGCTTTCGATAAACGTGACTTATGGCATGCCCACGTTCGAAAGTCAGAAACATGTCAATGATTACAATGGTTGAGTTCATTCTAGAGCCAAGGAATTACAGTAGAGTCCACTAAAACAGAAGACGTTTAATTCGAAAATATCGGTAAACGGAGAAAAAATAAAATCCCGTGCTTCATTTTCTTACCTGTGCAAGCTCCCTTAATATTCTTAACGAAAAACCCGGCTAAGCCGAAGGAAATCCGACAGTTCCGTAGATTTAGGTTCAAGAAGACCCCACTGTAGAATAGTAGATCGTGACATCCTGTTTCAGTTGTCTGAAACAACCTGGCGTTTTATAATAATAATAGGCCTAGGTGTAGAGTTTATCGGCAACCAGATCGTGATACCGGCGCCAGTAGTGGGGCGGTACACTTCGCTGTCACACGCCGGAAACCGGAGTTCGATTCCCGAGTGGAGATCCGAGGGATTTGTATGGAGTTTCTCGATCACCCACATTCAACATGATAACTTTTGAGAGGGGGCGGGGGTTAATCTTCAGTCTCAAAGATCCCCCACCCTCTGTATTCTCAATCTGGGCTCAATTTTCTGTATAGCAGTTCATCATATTACGAATTTCGGATGCTGAAATTAAGGACCTATTAAACGAGAGACAAACACCGTACCTCTAGACCACGAGAGTCCCTGATCAGGCGTATGACTGAAAATATTAAGGGGATTCGACTCAAAATTATGGATTTTGAGTTTTAGGTATTTTTAGCTTCTCCAGCCTCTCTTATACTATCATTAGAACCCCCCTCCCCTTTCCCCAAACATCGTATTTGTTCCCATACCAGGCATGTTTGTCACTACCATTTCCTCACAAAGTCAATCTTTTATTTTCCTTTATCGACCGTTTTCTCAAAACGCGGGTTTTCTATACTTTTTGAATAACTCCACCATTTTTCTTCCAATTTTAAATTATTTTTATATAATTTTCTCAGAATGAAGAGAAGATGTAGATCTAGTACTAAAACTTTTTTCGTTGAATTTTTTAAATGTGGAATAGATTTTTGTTGGTGGTGTCTGGAGTGTGGATTTTCACAGATTTTTTGCAAACTTGAATACTACCCCAGGAAAAAATTCATTAAAAATTTTCTAATTCGTTTAAGAAAAATTTAACTGAAAAATTTGTAGATTTAATGTTCGCTAACTTGCGCTGTATCCATGGAAACGAAACTTAAATTTGATATCTGATTTTTTAAAGACCCTTTACTATGTTTGTTATATTTGTGAAATTTGGTAAAATGTGATCCACTAATAAGCGAGCGCAGCCTTAACAAAAAAAAGCCACCCATGATCTAGCCCTTGACCGAAAATTGTACCACCCCCTCAACATTTAACGATATAAGAAGAGGAATGGCAAAGTAAAGTAGGTCTATCAAAGGCCTTTAAAACTATTTACACACCAGTGACATCGTGTGGGTTGCAGACAAGGTGGTGCATAATTGGAAAGTCAGCAAATGCGCAATAGGTTTACTAGCTACTATTAAAATTGTAATGAGCAGTTGGCGGGCGCTCTGTCGTGGTCTGGTTTTTTTCTATTTGCTTTCTGCGAGTCTGTGTGACTGTGTGTATATGTGTGTGTGTATGTGTGTGTGTGTGTGTGTGAGAGAGAGAGA